CCCCAAAACCCCAAAACCCCAAAACCCCAAAACCCCTTCATACATATATAATATTGAATGAAAATTTATAGCCATTGATCAAAGCAGCCAGGCTGCTTTCATCTCTCTAAAAGGTATTTCTCAAGAATTAAGGTAAGCACAGGATTATCTCAAGAGCAATACTTGGAGAAATTTTAATATAAAAAGTCATGGCTAGTGCATATTTTGACAGTTTGTATCTAGCCCATTAAAGATTTGGAGGAAAATATCTTAAACATGAGTCAGTACCAGAAAGCTACAGAATTTTTCGAAAATAAAGACTATAAGAAAGCATCACTCTACTACAGGGCTGTGCTGCATAAGAAAAGTAAGTTGTGGCTTAAACCTCTCTAGATCTACCGTACAAAGAGTATCACTGGAAGGGTATCGAACATGACTGGACTGAATCTTACAAGAGTAACATATTCCTCTGAAAACTTTATGATAAGACCGCTTATTCTTATCTCTACTCAGATAGAAGGGATGCAAACGATCTGTTCAGATTTTGCCTCAACTTGTTCAACAAGGACATCTCTTTCCCTCTTATTGTGAAGTATAACCTTGCCCAGATGATCTTGAAAGATACTGTACAGCCTGAAAAGAACTTTACAGCTTTAAAATAATGATGAAGATCTCACCAAAGAGCAAAGAGCGATCGCCAAAAATAACCTGGCTATTATTCTCCTTCGGAAATATAATGAATTTTTGGTCAAAGTTAAAGGAGATAGAAGTATAATTCCTGAAAAATATGTCCATGAGTACGACCAAGTCCTACCCTTCTTCAAGGAAGCTATTAAAGGGTTTGAAACCAGTCAGGAACGGACTGAGGAAGAAACAGAGATTTTGAATACACTTTTAAACGTAACTAGTATTGGGCCTGAAGACTTCTATGATCATCCAGATAAAGCTAAGTTCTATGATATCCTTAATCATCCTCTATCAGGCATTAGTCTCACTAATATCTGTGAACAGATAATGATTGATAAGCTCTGGATGGAAAAGAAGCATACTACCTTTTGGTTCATGGTAGGCCTTAAGTACCACGAGAAGCATGAGACCTTCCTCCTAGCTAAGCATCTGAGTCTCCTTGCTCTTTATTACAATTCTCAGCAGAACCCAACAGTCTCAGAGAAGTTGCTTCTCAGGGCACTTCAAATCGTAGAGGGAAGGAAGGATATTCATGAATCATTTACAAAGAAAATTTTAGGAACTGTCTTAATGGGAGACCCTGAAAGAAAATCAGAAGCTGATAAATACATATCTGAAGCACTTCAGATTGAGAACCAGATAGTTCCTTGGGCAGGCTTACTATCTCGGATGAATATCCCGTTTGTGTAAAAGCCTCATTCAATATTTTCTCATAAAAATGGGGTTTTGGGGTTTTGGGGTTTTGGGG